TCAAGAGCGGGATTCAAAAAGGGGACGCTATCGCTTCCGTGTTTTCACAAATGTGGAATGTGCCAATGGGCAGCTTCGGCATCTGAAAGTTTTGTCCTTACGGCTCAAGAAACTTCATCTCCGTCGCTCGTCAGGGATGCTGTTCGTCGAATCGTGCGACGTGGTTGTCAAATTTGCTCAATGCATGCACTGGGGATTGGCAGACGCACCTTCGCCCACCGTGCTTTGAACTGATGCTACTCTAGGACAATCGATGTCTTTCCCCTCAACCTCCAAAATAAGCTTCCGAATCGAGATACCAGTCTGGGCTGACGCCCAAGCTCCCGCCAGAGCATGGGTCTCTGAACCCGGACACGGACTGACGCAGACGCCAGCATCACGGACCAGCAGTGCGGCCTATCATAGCTTATCAGATTGGCTGTCACTGAGATGGACGTGGCTGCAATCAATGAAATCTCGAGCAGGGACAGCGGTCCTTGCTTCTCGCAGTGACGCACCTCCTTCCCACAGAAAGTCCACAATGTCGTCTTCTAGTTCGTCAAATCGGCTACAGTATATTCTGCAACGCTGATCGGCGTGAGTATTTCATTTCCAGCAAGCGTAGTGTGTGTGAGCTGACAGGTTTCACTGTGTTCAACCTCGACAGGAGTGCCAGGTTTGAGTTGCCAGTCGCCATCGGAAATCCTCTTTGCGTGCGGACGTGGCGACTGTTTGTGGGCCAGTGGGAGCGGCAGGCAGCAGCCATTTGGACAGTCACTGTTTGCAATGCACTGGCAGCAATACAGGGGGTTGATCTGTATTGGCAGGCAGAGAGACTGTGTCAGATGAACAAAACGTGATGGCACAGACACATTTGGTGTAGGAATTGTCATGACGCGCCACCAGTGCAGTGAGGATCGCTGCAATGTTTCCCTGCGTCAGGAGGGACATGATTGAGGTCACCGCCCTCACTGCACATGTTCTGCAGGCGACAAGGCTTTTGCTGGGCTGTCAGGGTCAACTTTTTAGGTTGCAGTCTTGTCTGAGTAGGCCGGATCAGGGTGAAAAATTGTACAAATCTTGCCCATATGTCTTCACGGAACGATTTCTTGTAGGCTATTATTTGATGAGGTCGATCTGCTGGTTGGGCCGCGGTGGGTAGCCCCGAGTAAAATATCGTTTGATCGCATCACGATCAGTGACCGTGCAGTGCCTCGTGGAGGACAGAATGTGCCACCGGTCGATTGATTGTAGCGTCCAAACAGCAATTGGCCATTTGGCTGTTGCTTCATGCTCCTTTTGGACATTGCGAGCCGCAAAAGTGCATGCCGCTCCTTTAAGGAGAGCGTGGTGGACTAAGCGTCCATTGCCTTCCGGGACCAAGTAGGTTTCGTCTGAGGCATCTCTGCGCCCGCTGGTTGCTCCTCTTGACGAGGGAGAGCACTGTCTTCGACAGAGGCTGGTTCGGCCAGCGTGATGAGAGCATGGCTCCGAAACTTCCAGACACCTTTGTGCCACTTTGCGAGGCTCTCCAAAAAATGCAACCAAGCCTTGAAAGCGATTGCGGTTTCAAAAAACGACGCAAATCCCTTCTTAATGGTTTCAGTTTCAACGGGCTTGAAAACACAAAAGCTTTCAACCGTCACCCAGTTGAAATTGGCAGGTGGAGGTGGAACCCGTGAAAGTTGCAAGATGGTGGAAGGCAAGCAAGAAGCAGGCAGCAGGATGAAAACGACCGCTGTCAGGCTGATCAGATGTTTTCTTGATTCAATCAGTTTTTCAAACCATCAAATTGTTGCGTCAGCACTTGCTTTCAAATCCTTTTAGATTCCATCGTGCGTTGTTGGAGTTTCCTTTGCTTCTTGGTTGCATCTTGCAAAAGGTGCCAGACACTCTGTGCCTTTCGCCCGCCCCCTTCTGTTGGTCGGACACCCGCCTGCAATTTGGGCCAGCTCGACGTCAATGTGGAAACTCGAGGTGTTCCAGGAGCACTGGGCTGCTGGCAGCTTTTCAGCCTCGGCCTTTCCGTCGTTGGCCAAATCGTGAGTGAATTCAACGCCAGCGACACCCGGTGAGGCAGTCGCTGTTCTAATGCAAGTTGAGAGACCAGCCGGGACTTCTCTGCAAACAGATGACTTGTTTACAATGAAGCTCACCGTAGGGGATCGAGTTGTCACCTCTAGTTTTAGGGTGGAAGCACCCGGATTTCACATTTGCTTTCGCTTTGCGCTGGTTCAAGTGGTGGGTGGGTGGGCGCGCCGATTCGTTTGCCCAAAAGCGGCAGGGGGGATTAGTGCCATGGAGTTAGACGATGAGGTGGGTTGTGAGATTCATAGTGAAGTTCATGAACTTGGAGACGAGCATGATTCTTTGCCTGAGTTGATTCCTCTAAATCTTGAGAGTGATGATTTCAGCTTCGTTGATTTGATTCAATCTGAACCAAACCACCTTTCTCATGGCCATGAACCTCTGCCTGACGAATGCGGCGCCGAAGTCGAGAGCTTGAGGGAAGAGTCATTAGCGCAGAGCATTGATAGTCAATCTGCTGGGTCTCAATCCGTTTTGCCTGGAGCCGAGTGGAACCTGATGATGGTGCACATACCCAAAGGGGATGAAGCAGTCTTTTAAAGTTTCACAGAGGCAAAGCATATTGCCTCGGGAGTGAAAAAAAAGACTTTCCCAAAAAACTGTACTTTGGAAACCGGACCGAACACCTTTGTCGGTAACAAAAACCGGTTGAAACAACTCAAAAGACCTTTGCCCATTTTGTCCACAGCCATATTGTGTTACTCACGCAGTTTGGCTGGGAGGGTGAGGAGGGCGTAGCACGGCAACTTCTTTCATCCAGGCGTTGACTTTCTTGCACCACTGTATAGGTATGTTGACGTTTTCGTTGGAAGAGCTCCTCTCGTCAAGAGTTCGAGGTGCCGCCAGGTCGTGCTTGGAACTCAAGAAACCATTACGTCAATCCGCACCACTTTCAGTGAAAATGGTTGTAGCTCTTGAGAATGTTGTGACAGTTGCTCCATATGACCATTGGAAAATCATTGCTGGACATTTGCTGATGTGCTTGGGCAGCAGTTCCCGTTTTGGGGACTCAATTCACTTGGCATCGTTGAAGATTAGCAATCACTAGGACATGCAGCTCATTGAAGGTGAGTCGAAGTCTTTCAAGACAGCTCAAACTGAGGAACGCCGACGCAAATTGTTGCCTATCCTGAGCCTAGGCAGGTTCTTCGCGAAACTGCCCTGGGCCCAGGACTGGATGGGCTTGAGAGTGCAACACGGTTTGACCTTAGATCCAGCTTTGCCAGCTTTCAGTGAAATGACTCAGCAATGGTTGCCTCGTAGGATGACCACAGGAGAAGCTGCGTTGTACCTGAAAGAGTTTTTGACTTCGTCGGGTTTTTCTGCATTGGAGGTCGACTTGATAGGTTGCCATTCGCTCAAGGCCACTTTGCTTTCGTGGGCAGCAAAAGGCAACTACCTCAGTGTCCCAGATCGTCTTTTGATGGGACACCACATGACACGTGACAACCAAAGTGCAGTTGCATATGCTCGTGATGAATTGACTAGAATAATGACAGTGGTATACACCATGTGCCAAGATGTCAAGAAGAAGTCCTTCAAGCCAGATGCAAACAGAGCGGAAAGATTGTTCGACGCAGTGGTAGGAATGCCTGAGTCAGATGATGTGGATCAGGACGACAGTGATGCAAGCGCCGATGAAATTGAACCCATGCCAATACCAAAAGGTAACAGACAGGTATGGGATGATCTGCCTTTGGAGTTCGTCAGCAGGCTCAGGATCCATGCGTTCTCAGGTGTGGTGCATGTTGCCAGAGAAGATGATGCCAAAAAGCTTTTGTGCGGCCGTGTCAACTCCAGAAACTTCGATGAAATCCCAATGGGATCAAACTACTTCGATTTGCCAGTTTGCTTGCAGTGTCGTTCGACATATGGCTAAGTCCCAAACTAAGCATATGCGACGTGGGATGTGAAAAAATGCTGCAGCCCAGGTTCATGCTTGACACACGGCAGTCGTGAAACGCTTGTTGAAATTTGTTTGAAACTTTTGACACTCTTGGACCGAAAAATCACTGGAGGCAAACATGAGTGGAGCCAGCGGCACCTGAACCGCCATCAGCACTCAAGCCTTAGACGAGGAATCTGACCCTCGTGACTTGGGCGCGACATGTCCAAACCTGTCGAGCGGGGCAAAGCTGCTGCGACGCGCTTGACGGAAAGGGCGCCAGGCTTACTTCGGGGAGCGTGCAAGTTGGCTGCAGTTTTCATAGCAGGGTGGATAACCTGCTTCTTTTGGTTGCTGCTGCAGGACGAGCCGCAGGATGCTGATTTGTAGCCTCGACAGGTTTTGCCAAAGACGTGACATGATGCATCCCATTTGGAGGGACTTTTTCATCGTGATGAAGATCCACGTCTTTTTGGACGTCTACGGTGAGAGGCGTTTAGCTTTGACTTGTGTAGTGATAATGGTCGATAGGGCCGAACTTTCGTTGGCTGCCACGTGTATAAGATTAGGGATCTACGACCGTCTCTCGTCGTATTCAGTTCGCACCCCACCAGTGGCAGTGCAATAGGCATCGCGCGGAAATGACAAGCCAAAAAGACTAGCAAAACAATCAGAGTTTCCATCATTTTTTGAGTACATGAGTGCTGGCAGATTTCCACTCGGTTCGGCTCCAAACCGGGGGCCCCAAGACCAAGTGGAATTTTGCCCATGAGTGCAAACATTGGTGCATCCATCCAGCAGAGACATCACCATCTTTGCAAGCTTGATGGAATCATCACCAAATCACGCACTTGGGGCTCAACAGCAGAAAAAGGCCATCTATGGAGACATGGAGCGAAGCCACCACCAATGAAATCTTTCCAAGTCCAAAAACTTAGGACAGAAAGGGTTTTTAGACCATATGAGATATACCATAAACACTTGGAAGTATTGTGCATTCAATCGAAATGGCATACTTCTCTCTAGCGTTGTTGATAGACTCGGCTCGATGGCGTCCACCTTGGAATCTGAAGCCTCATTCAAGGCCAGAGCAAAGGAGATTGGGTTGGCCGAGACAGTTGTGAATGAACTGGTCGCAAATGGCGTGAGATCTTTCGGATCATTGGCCTTCATCACCCCCTATCGACCGGGCCAGTCCGACGAGGCCCCACTGATAGAGGCTTTAAAGAAGGTGCTGAATAGGGACCCAACAAACCCAGAGTTGATCATTTTGAGACGCTTGTTTTTCGAGAGTTGCACATTAGCTTTGTCCGACATGAAGCAGCGCACTGAACGTGACGACACTTCAGAGCCAGCAAGGATGCCAGTCGCTGAAAGAAACGCAAGGTTGAGTGATCAGAAAAACCGACTTAATGGTCTCCATTTTTCTCCAGAGAATGAGCCGAGTCACAAGCTGGTCGACATGATTTGTCAGATGGGGGTTGATCAAACTCTTGAATGGATCCCTTGGGAGCAGTTGACTAGCCGTGCAGCCGAAATCACTCATTCGCAGAAGGACTTCAAGATCTCTTTCGACTCCCAAGGTGGATTGAAAGTTGCACCCAAGCATCAGACACCAGATGCAGTCATCACAGGAGAGATGAAAGTCCGTCAAGCCCTCAATCGTCGCGCCAGAGCCTTCGATTTAGCAGCAATTTGTGGCTACAACAAAATGGAGGAATGGCATGAACGTGTTTTTGAGATTGTAGGCAGAGAACCAGCTCCCAATGCCTTGCCAGTGTCGTTGCATCAGGTGAAAGAAGCGGACAAGGCCTTGTTCCGGCGATTGGCAGAGAAAACGCGAGGTGGCCTGGTGAGACTTGCAGACGGGACCAAACCCATGGAGAAAGAATTTGAGGCTTGTATGAACCACCCTGAGGTCCAGTTTTGTTTGATCCCCATGGTTCGACCAGGAAAATCTGCCAATGAGAACAATCATGCAAGTTATGCGAACCCTTCAAAAGGGAAGGGAAAAGGACATGGTGTGAAGAAGGACTTCAACAAGGACAAGGGCGCAGGACAGCAGTTGCAGTTGCCTCCAAATTGCAATCAGATGACAAAGGATGGAAAGCCCATTTGCAACCTCTTCAATCGTGGAAAATGCACATTCGCAAAGGAAGGGAAGAGATGCCGTCGGGGCTTTCATGTGTGTTGGCGATGCAACAAGCCAAAGCCCTTTCAGACTTGTGATCATTCGTGACAACCACAGGTGCCTGCCAAAAATGCGACAGCTCAGCCGAGCCTGCTAGTTGTTTGGCCGAGAGTCCAAGAAAGGTAGGTGCCAATGATCGTAGACAAAATTTTTCGCCAGAGGCTGTCGCAGGGAAGAGGCCTCGAGTTGAGCAGCCCCGTGCTGTTCACAGTGTTTTCCATGGAACCAGTGTTGCCCCATCCAAAGGGGGTGCAGTTTTTGTCGAAATTTTTGCAGGATGTGCAAGGCTAAGCCGTTGCGCCAAACAGCAAGGTTTCCAGGTTATTCCAGTTGATGGTCCCAGAAACGAGCACACACCAGAGTGCCCAGTTTTGACTTTAGATCTCACTGATGAACATGCGCAGGAGTGTTTGATCCAGACTTTGAATGTTTTGCATCCCGCTGTCATACATATTGCGTTGCCATGTGGCACAGGTTCAAGAGCACGCGAAAAACCAATACCTCCATCCCTTGTGAATCAAGGGGCACCGGTCCCAAGACCTTTGCGAAATCAAGATTTCCCGCTTGGTTTTCCTTGGCTCACCCCATACGAGGAGCTCAAGGTGCACAGTGCCAACATGTTAGCCAAGTTTGCCGTCTTTCTTTTGCAGAAAGGTTTAGAATGGGAGTCCATCGTGTGCATTGAGAACCCCTTGAATAGCTGGATGTGGGTAGTCCTTCAACATTTTGTGAATGAGACTCAGTGCCCGGCTGTCACACGTGCTTGGGATGCCATGTTTGACGTTGTTTTCAGCAACTGTGCACACGGAGGTGAACGTCCAAAGCAAACACTGTTCCGAGTAACTCATCCCTTCTTGCAGCCTTTAGCTAAAGAGTGCCCCGGAAATCACAAACATAAGCCATATGCTATCAATAAGACTTTTGGTGCGTGGAAGTTTGACACTGCAGGTGAAAGCGAGTATCTGCTGCTCCTTTGTCAGCGATTCGTTGCACTCATCAAGAGCCACTTGGTGTCAACGTTTTCCTTCAATCCGCAAGTCGCGCAGCCTGGAGCGCGCCAGCAATCTCGCAAGCATCGAGCTTTGATTCCCGAATACCATAGGTTAGTGCACTCACCTCCGACGAAGGGAGAATACAAGCTGCTTCCTCCAGTCCATCGGGGGGGCACAGGCGGGGATGAAGCAGGTGATGCAGTTGAAGCAGATGGAGAAAAAGCCACATATGGGGTATACCATACACCCAAACAATTCGTCAGCAAGGCCCTTGAGTTGAACCATCCTTTCGATGATAAGTTCGCTGTAGAAGATTTGACTAGGGTGAATGTGTTCTCCATGTTGACAAAAGGAAAGAGTTGGGTAGCCCACCAACGATTGAATTTTGCTCGGAAATTAGTGACCTTATCAAAAGAGTTAGCTCCCGAAGAGGCAAGGTTCCATTTGTCACTGCCAGAGCACGCCAGAGAAGTGCTGAAAGGTAAGAGATTGCTCCTGTTCAAACATTTGCTCCAAGAATCCGGGTGCCCTGACCTGGAAGCCTTCGACTTAATGCAGGGAGTACATCTCGTGGGGGTGGCAACAAGATCGCCCTTTTTCGGAGACAAAATTGTGCCAGCTACCACCACGCCAGAGTTTGCTGTGTTGTCAAACAAATGGCAACGGAAAAAGATCGAAGCAAAGAACATCCATGCTGACGATCCTGAGCTGTCCAAAACCCTATGGGAAACGACTATGCAGGAAGTTGACCGCGGTTTTTTGCAAGGGCCGTACGAGTCGCTTGAAGAGGTGCACCAAGTCTTGGAGGCCAAAGGCACAGTGTGTAGTAGAAGATTTGCCATAATGCAGAGTGGGAAACCTCGCATAATCGACGACTTGAAGGAGAGTGGTGTAAATAGAGCTTTCACAGCAGTAGATCGCTTGACCTTGCACGACATTGATTATGTGACTTCCTTTTGCCATTTCATCACGACTACCATCAAACATGCTTTGGAATCCTCGGAGAAAACAGTAGAAGTGAAGTTGAAGGATGGTTCAATTCTTCGAGGTTCATTGCATTCAGACTTCCATGAGCCATGCGTGTGGAAGGGCCGTTGTATTGACCTGTCAAAGGCATACAAGCAGATCCCTGTCAGCAGCCAGTCCAGGAAGTTTGCAGTGCTGATGGTGCACCATTTCGAGACAGAGAGGCCTGTGTATTTCCTGAGCCGAAGCTTGCCCTTTGGGGCAAGTGCGAGCGTTTTTGGTTTCAACCGCATCTCCAAAAGCTTGTGGCACATTGCTACGAAAGGATGCTTGATGATGGGAGGCGTGTTTTTCGATGACTTCCCTATCGTAGAGCCGGAGTCCTTGTGCTCCCTTGCATCGAAATCGGTAGAGGGTTTGCTGAAAGCTTTGGGGTGGCAATATTCAGATGATCCGAAGAAAGTCGTTCCCTTCGATTGTGCTTTTGACGTGCTTGGAACCAGGATTGATGTTTCAGGACTGCATGGAAGATCTTTCAGCATAGAAAACAAGCAGTCAAGGTTGGAAAGAATAGATGCCTTGCTGAAAGAAGTGCAAGAAGCAGATGCGATTTCCAAACGCCAAGCTCAGGTGATCCACGGAAACTTGAACTTCGCGATGAGCTTCTTTTTGGGACATACCATGAGAATTGCTGCCAGAGCGTTCGCTGCCCTTACGATGGACAGTTGCAAACCGGCTCCAGGCCAGATCACTGACCTGTGTACATGGGCCACGGGGGTTTTGCAGTTTTTGGCACCAAAGGTCATAGATCCCAGTGGTGATCCCAGACCGGTTGTCCTTTTCACAGACGCTGCGTATGAAGATGATGTAGCGACTTGGGGAATGGTTTTGCTGGACCCTGTCACCGACACCAGAACCGCTGTGGGTGGCCGAGTTCCAGACTTCCTTGTGCAGAAATGGCATGCGTTGGGGAGTGATCAGGTGATAACGCTTGCCGAAGCTTTTGCCGCGTTGCTGGCGCGGATTGTCTTCAGAAGCTATATATCTCAACGGAGAGTCTTGATTTTTGTAGACAACGAAGGAGCTCGTCACTGCCTGATCAAGGCTACAAGCCAGACGTTAGCTTTGTTGCAGATAGTACAACTTTTCCATGGCTGCGCTGAAGTTGATCGCTGCATACCTTGGATAGAACGAGTGCCATCAGCTTCGAATGTTGCAGACTTGCCAAGTCGAAACAAGACCGAAGAAGCCATAGCCATAATAGATGGCAGTCCTTGGACCTCAGAAGTGGATGTAGAAGCTGTGGCTGAGATGTGTTGCAATTTCAATGGATTGCCCAGGATCCTAACGAAACTTACATGCAATGCCTTTGAAGCTTCTTTTGATCCACTTTTACATGACGACAACACAGGGGACTAAACGGGTCATGTGCCATTGCAACACCCAACTGCGTGGTT